TATCTCCCTGTGTCTGGCTCTCTCTCCCTATATCTCCCTGTGTCTGGCTCTCTCTCCCTATATCTCCCTGTGTCTCCCTTTGTCTTTCTGTGTCTTCTTATGCCTCCCTGTGCTTTCTCTTGTCTGCCCGTCTCTTCCCATTGTTAGAGTGCCCTCCTGAGTTCTGGGGTCCCGACTGCAGTAAGCTCTGCCAATGCCACCCCCATGGCCGCTGCCACCCAGAGACGGGGCGGTGCACCTGCGACCCCGGGCGCTGGGGGGTGCACTGCGAGAACGTTTGCAGGTGTGGCCGCCATGGCCAGTGCAACCCCACATACGGCAACTGCACGTGTGACGACGGCTGGTGGATGGCCACGTGCAGCAAGCCGTGCCAGTGTGTGTTGGGGCAGGCGCGCTGCAATCCAGTCTCGGGTCGCTGCATCTGCAAGGACGGTTACTGGGGGGTACGTTGCTCCCAACGCTGCCGCTGCTCGGGGTCTCCCTGCCTGCAGCAGACGGGCATCTGCGTGTGCCTGCGTGGGTGGGCAGGGCCCATCTGCGAGCACCCCTGCCACTGCAATTGGCAACATGGTCGGTGCGGAGATGATGGGGACTGCGTGTGTCAGCCGGGGTACAGGAAGCCGTCCTGTGATGAGCCCTGCAGCGCCGGGTCCTACGGGAATGACTGCAAGAAACAGTAAGCTGGTGGGCCGGCGGGGCAGGCGGGGCAGGCGTGGCAGGCCTGAGGGCCCTTCCCCTTGGGCTCACCACACTTAGCTTGTGTTGCCCTCTGCCTCGCTCTCCCTTTCTCTCTCTCTTTCTCTCTTACTGTCTCTCTCCCCATCTCTCTCTTTCCCTCGGTCTCTCTCTCCCCTTTCTCTCTCACACTCTTTCTCCTTCTATCTCTCTCTCCTTTTCTCTCTCCCTCCCTCTCACTCTCCCTCTTTCTCCCTTCTTCTTTCTCATTTGCTCTGTCTCCCTTTTCTCCCCATCTCTCTCCCCTTCTCTCTCCCCTTTTTCTCCCTCTCCCTTTCTCTCTCTTTCTCTCTCTCTCTATCTCCCTTTCTCCCCCCCCTCGGTCTCTGTCTCTCTCTCTCTCTCTCTCTCTCTCTCTCTCTCTCCTGTGTAGGTGTGGCCGCTGCCGCGAGGGGCAGCCCTGTTCTGCAGTGGACGGCTTCTGTTCTTCCTGCGAGCCGGGCTGGAACGGGACGCGCTGTGACCTGCCCTGCCCACCTGGTTACCATGGATACCTCTGCCAGGAGACGTGCCCGCGGTGCCGCGGCAGGGAGCCATGTGACCCTGAGAGTGGCAAGTGTGTGCACTGTGAACCCGGCTGGACCGGACCCAGGTGAGCGTGACTGCATAGATGGCATAGAACTTTCTGCTGGTCCAGAAACTTTTCACCCCAAGTGTCATTTTGGGGTCCCGCCTCAAAGCTCATATGAGCTGTGAATCGCTGAGCGTGTGAATCGGTGTGTAAAAGCTCATGTATGGCTTTACTGCCTGCTTCCGCAGGTGTGACGCCCCCTGTCCCGAAGGCACCTTCGGAGACGCCTGCCGCTTTGTCTGCCCTCCCTGCGTCGGTGGCCGCTGCCATCACATGTCGGGTATCTGCGTGTGCCAGCCTGGCTTCTGGGGGGAGAGGTGAGGGCGCCACCAGATGGGCCGAGGTTTCTGTGGGCCCCCGGGCTCGACCGCGGACGTTACTTTTGTTTGAACCAACACTCTGTTGCCTGTTTCTTGTTGAAGCTGCAACAGCTCGTGTCCGGCACACCATTATGGGGTGAACTGCTCGTCTGCCTGCGACTGCGGGGATGGTGGCTGTCACCCAGCTACGGGGCAGTGCCTCTCTGGTGAGCGTGACCCCGTTAGCCTCCGTTAATTGTGCATCACGGAGCCCCATGCTCACCTGCGTCTGTTTGCATCCCGCAGGTCATCGAGGGGCCCTGATCGCAGGCATCACTGTCCTGCTGCTGCTGGTGCTTCTCATTGGCTGCTGTTGCTGCTGCTGCTGCTGCTGCTGGCGGCACCCAGTCGACCCCAAGGAAAGGTTTGGCTTCCTTACACCCTCGACGCTGCCCCCCCCCCTCCCCCCCAGCCTCACTGTCTGTCCTGGTGCTTCCCTAGGGTGGCGGTCCGCGATGGGGGCCCAGCGGTCCGAATGAAGCACCACATGTACAGTGTCTTAGCCAACATGGGCTCCGCCGTACCCTGCCTGACCCTTTGGTCGTCTGGGCTGCCGCGGGTCACGGGTGAGACGCCGGCTCGGGTGCGACTGGGGGCTTGTGGGGGGTGTGGGAGGCTTCAGCTCTTTATCCCTCCCCGCAGTGTCCCACCACGACCCCGAGCTGACCTTCAACCACAGCTTCATCGAGCCGCCGTCCTCCGGCTGGGTGTCCGGCAGCTCCTCATCCTTTGAGAGTGACGACGCTGAGGCCGTTTACTGTCTGCCCCCCCGGGAGGGTAAGGGATGCCCCTGCTTTTCTTCCTTCTGCTGCTGGTGTTTAGTTTTTCCTGCAGGTTTATTGCTTCTGGGTGCTGCTTTATTTTCTATCTCTCTGCTCCCTCTCTCCTTTTTCTCTCTGTATGCTCCCTCTCTCTATCTCTCTGCTCCCTCTCTCCTTTTTCTCTCTGTATGCTCCCTCTCTCTATCTCTCTGCTCCCTCTCTCCTTCTTCTCTCTGTATGCTCCCTCTCTCTATCTCTCTGCTCCCTCTCTCCTTCTTCTCT